GGAGGAAGGGAGAAAATTTGGAACCCAAAGTTTTAAAAACAAATGTTTAAAAAATTTGTTTTCACGTGCAACTGGGAAATAAGATATACAAGAAATGAAGTATAGAAATCTATCCTACCCTATAAGAAAATTGAAGGGGAAGGGAATAAGAGAAGCGGGGGAGATCGAAGGGAGGGCAGATTAGGGGAAGAGGTATTCAGAATGCATGCCATCTTGGGGTGGGGGGAGGGACGAGAGGGGAGAAGATTTGTAACTCAAAATCTTGCGGAAGTAAATGTTGAAAACTAAAAATAAATAAATTAATTAAAAAAAAGAAAAAAAATCCAGGCTCTCAGAGAGCTCAGAGTCTAATGGGGGAGACTATTACAAATAAGATACAGGATAAATTAGAGATAATATCAGAAGGAAGGCACTAAGATAAAGGAAGACTGAAAAAGATTCCTGTAGAAAGTGGGATTTTAGTGGGGACTTGAAGGAAGCCTTGATGGCCAGGAAGCAAAGATGAAGAGGGGAGAGAATTCTAGGCAGGGGGAAAAGCCACTAGAAATGCCTACAGCCAGGAGGTCAGTGTTACTCCATTGTAGAGAATATGGTAGAGAGTACCATGTAAGATGACTAGAAAGGTGGGAAGGGAAGGGGCCAGGAATGGCTTTGAATGCCAAAGAGAGAATTTTATATTTGACCCTGGAGGTGATAAGAAGCCACCAAAGTTGATTGAATAGGAGGTAATGTGGTCAGATCTGTGCTTTCAGATAAATTTGACAACTGAGTACAAGATGGGCAATAGTGGAAAGAGACTTGAGGTAAGAAGACCAACCAGAAGGTTAATGCAATTGTACAGGCATGAGGTGATGAGGGCCTGCACCAGTATGGAGGCAGTACTGGAGGAGAGAAGGGAGGTAGTGTATATGAGAAATGTTACAAGGTAGACTCTACAGGAAAAGGGAAAAGAGGAGGAAATGGCAGAAGTAGAGGAAGAAGAAAAGAAGAAGGAAGACAAGGAGGACGAGGAGAAGAAGAAACTTCCTAATCATTAGAATGATCCAAAGTGATTTGTCCAGTTTCAGGAGGCAGTGGGTTTCACCACACTGGAAGTCTTCAAGCAAAGGCTGGATGACTACCTGTCAGATATGTTATAGAGGACAGTAGATAACACCAATCTGTAGTGGACTACAGTTGGTAGGATTGTATGAATTACTCCAGCAGCCTTTAATAGTCTACAAATAGAAGCTGAGAAGTGGGGATGGTGGGGGTAACCCAGGCCAAAAGACTCAAGGCTACAGGACAGTATGAAGCTAGTTCCTAATTAGTGCACATAATGAATCCCACAAAGTGGCCACATTATTCAAATTCAAATTCACACTGAATATCTCCATCGGCTGGAACCAATGACCATATTTTGCACAATTATAACTTCAATTAGTGTAAATTTTGTATGCATATGGGATTCATTATTTGAATCTAATCAGACCTGGCTGTTTATAATTGAACTGGTTAACTAAAGAATAATTGAAAGAGGGTAAAGGGAGGGGGTTGAGGGGAACAGGGAGAAGTGGAGTGACTAAGTCCTGGAGAGGATAAGGTTAAGTTTGGAAGAACAGAGGCAGAGGCAGCTCCCTTCCAAAGGGAGCAAGGTTTCCAGGAAGAAGATAGGAAGATCATGAGAGGAAGAAGTCTATGATAAATGGAAATTTGTTAATGAAAGAACAGGGGTTCCAGAGGGCACCATGTATAAGAGAGGAGGACAGAATGGGCACCCAAGAAGAGTAGGGATGAGGTGGGGGGAGTGGTGAGCCATCTGAGAGAGGTCTTAGAAGAGGAGCTTTGCCTCAGCAGGCAGCAACCTTGAATCATAGAGACTGAAGCAGAAGGGTGCTTACTACTATAGGAAGGGGAAGGACCAGTGGACAAGGGCTCCCACCTTTGAGGATCTCATGACTAGAGAGCATCTCTCCCTCCATAATCCTTATCAAATGGTGAAGGACGTAAGAGATGGTCCTCTCTCAAATGCCAGGGAAGAAGGGTCTGAGCCCCAAGGGACATTGCTTCCGTATCAATAAATAGCTGGTAATTGGGTTGCCAGTGAGCTGACTGTACTCATACTCAATCCCAGTTTTCTTTGTTCCATCCAAGGACAACAGGGCATGGCATTCAGCCAGACAATACCGTATACATGGAACATGCACTTGGCTCCTGGTAGGGCTTGGATCCTGAGTCCTGGTCCTGTACTGGTGGGGAGAACTGTTGGTGCCTGGGGGCTTAACGGTCACTGTGGGTTAAGCCATGATGGCTTTTCTCAAATGACTTAATCAAACAGGGGACTCCTCCACGATGTAGCAGTAGACTTTGGAGTGAGGAGACTTCCAAATTCAGTCTCTAAAACGGTCCACATCCCACCCTACCTTTCCCAGTAATAGACAAGGAGATTCAATTCTGGACCAAAGATTTAAGTGTTACAAATGGTCTCCAATGACAGGGATGGTGGTTACGGTAAGCTGAGGAAGTGTAGGCTCAGACAGGTAGGAGGGAAAGTAGAGGATACTTTCTGGGCAAGTCCATGGTGTAGACTTGACAGTCTTTGAGCAAAGATCTCACCTCTATCCGAGACCCAAGCGGGTCTCCCACTTGGCCATCAAGGAAGAGCAAGAGAGCTGAGGAATATCCCTGTGTCCTTTGGGGAAAAGGGACAAGTACCAGAAAAGAGAGCCCTGCTCCTTGTCCAATAGGAAGGAGGGGGATCATAAAGACAAGAGGGTCTTAACCTTTTCTGTGTCAGCGACCCCTTTGGCAGTCTAGTGAAGCCTGTGGACCCATTCTCAGAATAAGACTTTTAAAAGCATAACATACATAGGATTACCAAGGAAACTAATTATATTGAAATACAGTTATTGAAATATTTTTTTACAAATCAAGTTCCCAGACCTCTGTTTAAAATCCTTTCATCTAGTTCATAGGTTCTAGAACCAAAATGAACCCTAGAATTCACCTAGGTCAACCCACTTAATTTACAAATAAGGAAACTGAGACCAAGAGGGATTGAATGACAGCTACTACAGCTAACCCAAGTCTTCTGACTCCAAATCCAGATGGAGAAACTGAAGTGGGGAAAGGAGAAAGAGCTTGCCATGGGTCACCCAGAGTCAGGACTAGAAAGAATTCAGGTCTCCTGGCTCCTAGCCTGGGCCTCTTTCCACTGCAAAGCTGCCTCTCTAGGCAGATGAGGTGCCAGTGGGACTGGATCAT